ACAGATTCATTAAAAAACAGAATTTTTCTTTATAATGATTCTTCATGGTCTCTACTCCAAGCCTTCCTTCTGGATTTATGATGTAAACATTATTCATATTCCGTCGGTCCGCCCTAAACATGAGACAATCGTCGGTTCAAATTATTGCTACGACCTTAACTACCCATTGATTACCAATTTACACGTTACTGCAGAAGTTAGGAGAAAACACACTCTCACGTTAGTTTAACGTATCATCCCATAAAATCCCGATTTACACTGCATTGCGTCTCTACTCCTTTGCTTCTACAGTCCTACAGAAGCCTCTAAGAAGGTCACTTCTTTATGGTGTCATAACATCTGCCGTGCATGAATTCAAAACCGCATCATTGTGTTCGACCGACAAATTACTTGTTCATTCACCGACTGCAAATCCATTAATCAAGGACACTAGTAATATATCGCGAAAACTAGTAATTTGCTTGTAAATCCATAACCTCCTGATTTTGTTGAATGTACCACCCCATTATTAAGTTGATTTCTGTCCTGTTTTAATTGAACGTGAGGGAGAATTTGTGGAAAGCATATTAATAGCCACTTTCGTTTAATGATGTTAATTGAATCCAGCCGCAGTTAGAGATTCTGAAGGAGATCAGCGAGTTACATCAAAACAGTAAATTATTAAATTAGATTACAACATTTACTCTTTTCTACGTTTCGTCTCTAATACTTTGTCTACAGAACAAACTCCTAATTTCCAGGAGAATATAAATCGCTTGTTTCTACGACTCTGTCAAGACTTGAATTTAGAAATGAGAAATGCAATAGTCAGTGTATAATATGTATAAAGAAAATGTTTATTCGAGAGACTACCATTAATAAACAGCACGGTAAATCAGCCATAACACGACATCCCAGAAATCGCAATACCATAGAGAGAAAGTGTGAGAGCGAATACCACTGAACGATCTCTATGTATAAAGTGGACTTGTACCTGAGTTATCGGCTTTGAGAAGTGCTTGCGCATCATATTTCCCTTTGTACTTCCTGGCAAACCAGAAAATCTGGAATCCCCACTTCCATGTCATCCAGCCCCAGACAAGAGCGATCCAGTAGTTCTCGCCATACAGCTGCTTCAGGCCTTGTCCTTCAACCAGCGCCAGTGCCAGGTAGGTGGACATGGCGCAGAAACCGGCCAATTGTGATACGCAGCCAAACAGCATGACATTGCGCAGGTGGCTGCGGTAGCGGCTAAGAGAGTCATTCTTCCATTTTAGGTGCAGAGCCAGAGTTGCGGCGGCCAACACCCCGGAAATGCCTCCCCATGCTGTTGCGTTGAAGTTGGCGTAGTAGCTACCGAAAAAGACGACTGCTATCAGGCCAGACAGAATACCGCTTATTGCAAAGGCGATTTGACAATTGAGGGTGCACACACAATTACACATCTCCGGTGACAACTGTCAAGGTGC